CCCCTGCCACCACAGCTCGCACATCTGTCGTCAGCCGCCACACTCGCTGCGAACCCACGCACTCACCCCTCCTACCACCCCGCCCCACACCCCCCCCCCCTAACCCCAGGCGTGTGAAGGACGCCGTTGACGAGGTGGCTGCCGGCCTGGAGTGCGGTGTGGGCGTGGAGGGCTTCACGGCCTTCAATGAGGGCGACACCCTGGAGTGCTTCCAGGTGGGGGGCGTTGTTTTGGGGGGGGGGGGCGGTGGCGGTGCAGGGAGAGACGCCTGGAGAGCGTAGCCTTTGGGGCACCGGGACCCAAGGATCAAGTATGTGGTTGGTGGAAAGGCAGGTGATGTGATTTGACTGGAGGTGTGATGGCGAGTGTGCCAGCCCAGGCGTCTGGATCGCTGGACAAACAGCTGTGGCTGGTGCCCCAGCTGGGCCTCACTCTGCCGTCACCTGGCCCCTGTCCCCCCCACTTTTTCCCACCAGGTGGTGACCAAGAGCCAGAGGCTCGAGGAGGCCAAGGCCGCGTCCATAGACGCGTCAGCCTATGAGACGGCCTGAGGGCCACAACACTGGCGGGGACCTGCAGCGCTGCCGGCCGCAGGGCTGCCCCCGAGCCCGCCTGCCGCGCGGCCGGCGGGCCTTGTGGGGCGATGGTGCCGGCTGATCACGCGACGTTCGCCCTGTTATTGCAAGGCGGGCGTCGCTGTCCTGGGTTGATGGGAGGGTGTCGTGGCTGGTGCTTGTCTGAATCACGGCCGTGCGGCCCCCAGGCCGCCTGCTGGCTGATCTCTTGTGTTTTTGTGTGGCCACGCAGGGTTTCGGCTTGGCACGCCTGCAGCAGCGGCGCGCCTTTCTTCTTGCATGCACATTGTACCCGAGTTGTTCCGGAGAGTGACGGATGGACGACGGTGCGAGTGCACCTCAGACAGCCTTGGAGGCGCTGTCGAAGCGACCAACAACAAACAATACAAACAAGTAAACATCCCCTCGTTGCTTGCGCCTTCAATTGCACAGCTGAGCTGTTCGAGTTGGCTCAACAGGGTGCCATGCACCCAGGGTGCCCCCTGGGTGCATGGCCTAGCAGTTGGTGATTCGCAGGCTAGAGGGTTGCTTACACACAAGGGATTTATGGGAGAATGCAGGTATTGAATGCCGTTAGGGATCCTGGAACCTTGGACACAATTCAGCATGACACGCAGGGCAGCACATTTGCCGGCAAACACGCATCATTCATCAGCACAGGAATGCATAACACAGGGAAGGGGGCAGCCACTGTGCATGTGTGGCATGAGGCACCGCACGTGCCCTCACACTGGAGCGTGATGTGTTTGGTTCAAGGCGAGGCAGGAAATGGGGCGCCAAGGGCCACACAAGAGATCAGGGGTTGAGGCGCCATGCATTCTTTGGCAGGGGTACAGGCCGACTTTGTTTTGCAAAAGTCATGCCGCACCTGGCCAGGATGCAGTCAGTTGATTGGTGATTGGCGTGGGGCAAGACAAGCAGCATTGCTGCGTCACATTCAGGGTGTTTGAAGCAAGGGTGAAAGTAAAGGGTAGGCACGCGGCAAGGTTGCTGTCAAAGGTGCGCAAGCAGAGTCAGTGCAAAGCTGACTAGGGCTGCGGCGAGAGTGCCAGGGGTCCGCACGCTGGCTGCGGCCCCCGTGGTCCTGGACGTGTTCAGGATGATCTTGACGGTTCCGTCTGGTAGGGGCAAGAAGAATGGGATGGGCACATTAAGACCGTCCCAGCTTTCTACGCAGGTACCTCATCAGCAGCAAGGGGCTGGCACGTCTGCAGCCACGTGTCTGTCCAGTTTGCAGGCAATTGCAGTCGCTCTCGCCCTCGCCCCAGCAGACGCTGGGTTCCCTGAGCCTGGACCTCCGCCCCCGCCCGGCCCCAACGGCCCACCTGTGTTGAGGACCTCTGGCTGCGTGACGACGGTGAGGCCCTTGGCGGTGTAGTCAAACTCCGCCACCCTCTCGCGCCCGCACACGTCCATGAAGGTCACCTCCACCGTGTGCTTGGACGAGGCGCTGCCAAACGCCCTGGCCGTGACCGTGAGCGGCGACACACACTTGTTGCCCAGGCTGTTGGAGACCACCGCGCCGTCGTGCGTGCACACGGCGCTGCCCGCGCCCGCAAACTGCCAAGAGAGGACGATATTGTCGCCGGCCGCGATGGCCTGGCCACTGGAGTGGCTTGGGCTGCTGATCTGGCTGAGCGTCGTCAGCGTGCTCGACTTCTGGACCTGGGGGCCGACGGGGCGGGTGCAGGCGACAAGATATCAGCGACGTGCATGCTGGCATACGAGCCTGCTTTGTGTGATGCACCTGGGCTCAAAGCCACAACTGGCACACTCTGCAAGGCATGTCGACAAGCCTCTGCCCACCCATGCCCCACCACCGTCCGCCACCACAGCACCACCCCAGCGGCCTCACCCCGACGAGGGCTCCGTCGTGCACCATCAGGGTGGCCGCTTCGTAGAGCCCAGACACCCCTGCGCTGACCCCTGGCTCGTCCGTCTGCTGGATCATGTTGAGCCCCACCAGGTCGGTCAGCAGGGGGTAGGCCGTCAGGAGGGACACCTTGGGGGGGGGGGGCGTGGTGGGATTTGCCCGATGGGTGGGACGAGATGGGCAAGGGTTGATTTGCATGGAGCGACCCTGTCGAGCGGTAGTGCGTGACGTCCATATCTTTAGCTGAGTGCTTGAAATCTGACAGATGCCGGGAGCTCACTACACCCAATCACCCTTGTCCTGATGGCATTGCACCCCCTGTCTGCCTCGCCCACGCCGGGCAAGCCTGGCCCCTCAAACCTCCCATATCCGTTCCGTCCGCCCCTCACCGAGGCGCTGATGTTGTAGAAGCCCTCCTGCAGCAACTCAGACAGCGGGTATGACAGGGTCTCACCGGCGTAGGAGCTCGCCAGCGGGAAGTACTGCGCGGGAGTGAGGAGCG